CTTTCTCAAATGCAGGGACCAAACTATTCACAGTACTTTAGGTGTGGCCTCACCAACACCCTGTACAGCTGTGTCAAGACTTTCTGTTTTTAAACTCTAAACTCCCTAGCAATAAAGTCCAAAATTCCATTTGCCTTCTTCATTACTTTCTGTACTTCCATGTTAAAGTTTTGTATTTCATGTACAATATCACTCACATCTTTCCCTGTTGTATGTTTTTAGAGTCTTTCCGTTTAAGTGACAGTCTGCCTTTTGATTCTTCCTACTGAAGTGCAATGATCTCACACATTCCTAAACTAAACTCCATCTTCCAAATGTTTGCCTGCTCACTCAACCTATCTGTATTCTCTAGCAGATTCCTTATGCCCTGTCACAACATGTTCCCCACCTCCTATTTTTGTATCGTCAGCAAATTTGGATGCACTTTTTACCTCCTCCATCAAGACATGAATGAAAATAATAATTAATTGAAGCCCTATCTTGTACCTTTTATGCAGCACCTTAATGCCACATTGGAGCTAGTGGTCATAATTCTATTCATTTTAAAATAGTTATTGAAAAGGATAAGCCTTTCATAAAAATTAGTTTTCAATTGGAATAAGGCAGATGGTATGAGATAAGAACTTTCAAAAGTTGATTGACAAGACTGTTCATAGCTAAAGGGGTGACTAAGTTGGGGCTTTTCAAAAGTGTGATAACTAGAGTTCAGAGGCATTATGTTCCTGTTAGAGTGAAGGATAAGGCTGGTAAGAGAAGGGAACATTGGAAAAATAAAGATATTGAATCAAGAATAAGAAAGAATCACATATTAGATGTAGACAACTGGGATCAAATGAATCTTTTGAAGGGTATAAAGAGTGTAGGGGCATTCTTAAGAGGGAAATCAGAAGGTCAAAGAGGGGATATGAGAGAGTCTTGGTAGATAAGGTGAAGGATAATCCGAAGAGATTCTAGAAGTACATTTAAGAGCAAAAGAGTAACTGGAGAGAGAACAGGACCCTTAAAGATCAATGAGATTGTCGTTGTGTTGAACCTCAGGAAATGGGAGAGATACTAAATAAATATTTCATGTCAGTTTTTACTGTGGAGAAAGAAATGGAGGGTAGAAAACTCGGGGGAATAAATACTGATGTTTTGAAAACAGTTCACATTACAGAAGATGATGTGCTGGAGGTTTTAGAAAACATGAAGGTGGATAAATCTCCAGGACTCCATCAAGTGTATCCCAGGACATTATGGGAAGTTAGGGAAGAAATTGCAGGGCCTCTAGCAGAAATATTTGTATTATCTATGACTGTGGGTGATGTGCTGGAGGACTGGAGAATGGCTAATGTTGTGCCTTTATTTAAGAAACGTAAGGAGAAACCTGGGAACTATAGAGCTGTGAGCCTGACATCTGTGATGGGTAAGTTGTTGGATGTGATTCTGAAAGATAGGATAGGATTTATATACATTTGGAGGGGCAAGGACTGATTAGATTAGTCAATATGGTTTTGTGTTAGGAAAATCGTGTCTCACAAGCTTGATTAAGTCTTTCTTTTTTTCAGGAAGCAAACAAAAAGATTGATGGGGGCAAAGTAGTATATGTTGTCTACATGGACTTTAGTAAAGCCTTTGACGAGATTCCGCACAGTAGTCTAATCATTAAAGTTAGATCACATGGGATTCAGAGAGAGCTTGCCAATTGGACCCAAAATTGGCTTGATGGTAGGAGACAGAGGATGGGGCTGGAGGGTTGTTTTTTCACACCAGAGGCTCATGACCAGCAGTGTTCCACAGTGATTGGTACTGGGTCCACTTTTGTTTGGATGAGAATATAGAAGGCGTGGTTAGTAAGTTTGCAAGATTGGTGATAGATAACCTTCTTCAATGCCCATTCTAAGATTACAAAGAGATCTTGATCAATTGAGTCAGTGGGCTAAGGAATGGCAGATAGAGTTTAATTTGGATAAATGGGAGGTATTGCATTTTGGTAAAACAAACAAGGGCAGGGTTTATACAATTAAAGTAGGGCGGTGGGTAGTGTTGTAGGACAGAAGGAGCTAGGGGTTCAGCTTCATAATTCTTTGACGTTTGTGTCACATGTAGACAGGGTGGTAAGAAGGCATTTAGCGTGCTTGCCTTCATTGCTCAGACTTTGAGTATAAGAGTTGGGATGTCATGTTGAGGTAGTACAGGACCTGGTGAGGTCTCTTTTGGAGTACTGTGTGCAGTTCTGGTTGCCCTTCTATAGGCAACCTAAACTTTTTTTTAAAAAAAAAAAAAAAAAAAAAAAAAAAAAATTATTGAATAGGAGAGGCCTCAGAATAAATTTACCAGGACGTTGCGGGGAATGGAAAGGTTTTGAGATATAAAAATAGACTGGAAGAGCTAGGACTTTTTTCACTAGAGCATTGAAGTTTGAAGAGTGATCTAATAGAGGTTTATAAAATCTTGAGGGGCATAGAAAGGATGAATGTCAAGGGTCTTTTCCCTAGGGTGGGGGAGTTCAAAACTAGGGTGCATATTTTTAAGGTGAGAGGAGAAAATTTTAACAAGGATGAGTGGAAACTTTTTTACGCAGAGAGTGTTAGTATGTGGAATGAACTACCATAGGAATTGATGGATGTGGGTATAGTTACAACATTTAAAAGATATTTGGGTAAGTTCATGAACGGGAAAGGTTTAGAGGTATATATGCTAAACGTAGGCATGTGCAACTAGTTTAGTTTGGGAACATGGTCGTTGTGGACTAGTTGGACTGAAGGGTCTGTTTCCAGGCTGTATGACTCTGACTATAAATGCCTTCCAAAGGCAAACTCCAAATACACTACTTCTACTAATTCCTCTTTATTTACTCTGTCTATAATATACTCAATGAACACTAGCAGATTTGTCAAACATGACTACACTTTCTCAAAATTATGTTGACTGTTTGTTTGATTCTGTTAAGCTTTTCTAAAGGCTCTGCTGTTACTTCCTGAATGATGGATTCTTATCATGTTCCTAATGACGGATGGTAGGCTAGCTGGCCTAAAGTTTCCTGTCTTCTGACTTCCTCCCTTCTTGAACTGGAATATCAGATTAGCAGTTTTCCAATCTGCTGGAATCCTCCTGGAATCCATTGAGTTCTGGAATATTTCGACCAATGCCTTCACTATCTCTGAACCACTTACTTTAAAATCGAGTCCTGGTGAATCGTCTGTCTTTAGTCCCATTAGTTTGTCAAATACTTTTTCCCTTGTGATGGAGACGGTTTCGTCCCATTAGCGCCTTATTAGCCTCTGAAAGGTGCTAGCGAAGTCACCATGTATTGTCTATTCCCAGTTGTCCTTGAGAAAGTCTAAGTGGAAAAGATGCATCAAAAATGCTGGTGGGTATGGTGTCCAGGATTTTAACCTATCAATGATGATGGAACAGAATTTAGAATTCTAAATGTGTACTCAAGTGTACAGGAGTACAGTGAAAAGTTTACAATGTCACCCGACGTGGCGCCATTTTAGGTACAAAATACCTAGGTACAAAATAGATGAAGAAAAAGAAAGTTACATTACCTTACACTTATTCTTAGTATATGTTAGAAATATATGAATGAAAGTTAAAATGATAAACATTACAGTCTTTTACAAAGGGCTTGCTGTTGATCAATGTAGGGGCTTTCCAACGTGGTCTGACCGGGCTCACAAGCCACTGACTGCCCACGCTGGTCCCCAAGCCAACAGCCGTCCCACTCCTCCCCAGGCCTCCGGACTCACTGGCCGTCCATCTCCGCTTGGGTCCTCTGGACTCACTGGCCGTCCATCTCCGCTTGGGTCCTCCGGACTCACTGGCCGTCCCACTCTGCTCGGGGCCTCAGGCCCGCTCCATTCTATGCCTCCACCCACTCTGCAGTGGCCCTCAGATGCTCCAATGATGTCACTGCAGCTCCAAGGTTTAAAAAAATACTTAAAAAAACACAAATTTAAAAGAGAAGAAGAATGAGAAAAAGAAAAGAAAAAACGGACAGAATAGAGGAGCCCCAGGCTGAGGAGCCTGGATGCTGCCATCTTGATTTTTCAAAAATTTATGCCCAGGCCACAATAGTGTTTGACTTAGGAAATTCGAAGGTGATGGTGTTCCTATGCTCTATTCACAATGGCAATTGACCTTCTTGGTGTTCACTAGATTGGGAGTTGCAGTTAAGATGTTTCATGGGTTTCTGCTATGGATGCTGTAATGCTTACCTGTCCACATCAAATTTGGGGCGGCACGGTGGCTCAGTGGTTAGCACTGCTGCCTCACAGTGCCAGGAATCCAGGTTCAATTCCACCCTTGGGCAACTGTCTGTGTGGAGTTTGCCGATTCTCCCCAAGTCTGCGTGGGTTTCCTCCGGGTGCTCTGGTTTCCTCCCACAGTCCAAAGATGTGCAGGTGGATGCATAGGTGGATTGGCCATGCTAAATTACCTGTAGTGTTCAGGGATGTGTAGATTGTGTGAGTTATAGGGGGACCGGTCTGGGTGGGATCTGAGGGTTGGTATGGAGTTGTTGGGCCAAAGGGCCTGTTTTCACACTAAGGATTCTATGATGAAATACCACCAATCAGTGATTTATCTGCCCTCTTGGTTGGATGCAAAAAGGTTCTATGCCACTATTTTTGGAAAACCGCAGAGTTCTTTCAGTGTTCTGGTCATTGCTTACTTATCCTTCAACTATTATCACTGTAACAGATTACATAACATTACATTATTTACATAATGTGCAAATTAGCTATTGTATTTCCTACACGATAACATTGCCAAACTGCACTCAAAAAGGTTATTAATTCCTGCAAATCATTTTGGATGTCCATAAATCATGAAAGGTGCTGGATAATTGCAATTTCTTTTCAGGCTTTCACTCATTCTCCACTCTGAAGTTGTCAGTGGAAAAATCTCCTCCCATTAGTTAGCAAGTTCAGACTGCAAGAGAGCAAAAACTAGATTAAACTAATCTCTGATGAGACATGTGAATATCTCGTTTTCTAAATGTTGCTTTTCTACAGAGTGCAGAGTATGCGGGTTATCTTTGGGACAGCAGTGCTGGAGTCGAACTGAAAACTACCTTCCTTCTGGAGAATGCACAAACCAATGGGAATGGGAAACCCTGTGTCTCCAAGCCTTATGTTGCATGTTTCAAGGTGAATGGTCTTTTTCTGCCTCTTCAACACCCTTGCTCCTGTGGTAGTCTTAAAGCAGTTATGTTAGCTTCTTCAATAAATGTCATCAAGGTCAAAAGCCTGCATGTGAGTAGAGTAGCAGGTAGCTCAGGTAGGGAATAATTTGAGTACTTGTAACTCAGAAGGATAAAAGGCAACTTGATTGAAGGGACCATGAAGGGTCTTGACAAGGTGAATATGGAAAGTATGTTTTCTCGTGGAAGAATCCAGAACTAGGAGTCCATAAGACCATTAGATGTAGGAACAGAAGTAGGCCATTGAGTACGCTCCATCATTCAATGAGATCATGGTTGATCTAATAATCTTGAACTCCACTTTCCTGTTTTATTCCTATAATCCTTGATTCCCTTAATGATTAGAAATTTGTCTATTTTGGCCTTAAACATACTTAACAATCCAGCTTCGAAAGGCCTCTACAGTAAAGAATTCCATAGATGCACTATCCTCAGAGAAGAAAAGTTCTTCAGCTCTGTCTTTAATGGGTGATTTCTTATCCTGACATTTCACCCTCTAGTCCTAGATGTTCCTTCAAGGGGAAACGGTCTTTCCACATCTACCCTGTCAAACCCTCAATAAGGTCCCCTGTCATTCTCTAAACTCCAAAGAGTACAAACCTAACCAATTGAATATCTCCTCATAAGAAAATCCTCCAGTTTTGGGATCAACACTGTCTCTGGACTGCCTGTAATGCCAGAAAAATATTCAAAGACTTTACTTGCACTCCCTTTTAAGGAAGAGGGACATCTGTCTTCTTTGGGCAACTCTTTATTTTTAAACTGATTCTTAGATCAAGGCTACTTAATAAAAGCCCGTCGTATGAGAGTAGAATATTAGCATGGACGGAGGATCAGTTAACTAATAGAAGACAGAGAGTTGGGATAAAGGGCCAATTTTCAGGATGGCAATCTGTACCTAGATACAGAGGGAGTGTACAAAATGTGCTATCGAGTAGCAAATCCTTCCAATATTCCACATCATTCCCAAAGGGAAGAAAATATCATAATATGCAAACAATCTTATGGAGTGGCAGACCAGGCCAAATGGCCAGATAGTGTATTCTAGTTTCTATGTCTTACTTCCTTAATATATCAGATATAATGGCCAAACAGTAAGCTTGCTAATAAAAAGGTATTAATCTATATATTTAAGGTTAATTGAGAAGAAGCTATAATAGCAATATAAGAACAGGTCTGGGATACGGGAGATTTTATCTCATTAACCTTCCAGGAGACGAGAGAAGAAATAGTATAAGTACATTGTAAATCAGTAAAGGAGACTAGGAGATGTAATCCAGTATGAACAGGAATTATGGATATACATTTATACTTCTAGTAGAGGAATGATGCTACTGGCCTTGTTTAAAGCCTTGAAATGTTTTCTTATTGATCGATTCACAAAGATTCATGCATAGAAATTCAAATATGGTTGTGAAATGTGATGTTTTCCAGCCAGTGCTTAAACCCCACACAAACTAAGGGTCTAGGCCTTTCCTGCTCCTCTGATGCTGCTTGACCTGCTGTGTTCATCCAGCTCTACACCTTGTTATCTCATCCAATCTGAACAACTTTCCCTTTCTTCCTTCGTTGTGTACTTCTCCATCTTCCTGTGAATACTTTTACCATGTTCAACTCCACGATTCCTAGTGGTAGAAAGAAATTCTCAGGAATTCCTTATTGGATTAACAGTAACTGTCTTATATTTACGGCCTGCAGTTTTGAGCTTTTCCACAAGAGAAACAGTTTCTCCATGTTTTTATATCAAATCCCGTGCATAACTTTAAAACCTCTGCTAGGTCACCCAATAACATTCTCGTCCCTGGAGAATATAGTCCGAATTGTTTGTCGCCTTTAATCCTTTCATGGGATGTAAGAATTGCTGGCAAGGCCAATATTTGTTGTCCATCCCTCATTGGTCTTAAAATGCTCTTTCTAGGCTATTTCAGAGCCCAGTCAAGAATCTACCATATTAGTGTAGATTCCAGTACATGCAGGCTACACCAAGTAAGGATGGCAGATTTTATTCCCTAAAACATGGTTATGGACCAGATAATTTTTAGAGTAATCAATGATAGATTTGTGGCCACCATTACTGAAACTAACTTTTAATTTCAGATTTTATTAACTCCATTTAGATCCTAGCAACTGCCTCAGTGGGTTTTGAACCCTTGGCCTCAGGGTATTAGTGTGGGACTCTGGATTACTAATGCAGTGAAATTACACTACAACACCTTCTGCCCTGAGACTTGTATTTCTGCTCTAATATCATTCTTTTAAATCTGTTTTGTACCTTCGACCCCACCTCTTTTTTTTGTAATTCAGAAAGAAGTGCTAAGTCTAATCAAGGTACTGGAAGAGTTAAGTCTTTAATGCTACACAAACCTAACACAATTCCAACTGTTGCTGATTTTGGCAGGCAGCTTTAAAAAATGAACATTGTATCCAGCCATACTTTCATTGGTATAATTAGTAAATGCTTTGTAGTAAATGTAGACCTGCTTTGGCCCTGTGTCCCACAACGGAGGAAGCAAATTCTTAGATTTCAACATTGCTGACACAATCTGTTCACATGAAGTAGCCACTTGGATGAGACAACTGGAGCTGCTGGTGGCATTAAAGTGACAACTGCTCTCTTTTGGCAGAGGGGAAGAGATGGGAGTGGGGGAAGGTGTGATGGAGTGAGGGAAGCTGACGTGGAATGAGAAATCAATAGCATCTAAACTGTATTTTTTTTAATATTGCCTGAGAAACACATCAATGAAACTCGTACCTGTTTTAGGCTATGACTATAAACCCTTATTTACCACCTTCCACAACCTTAGGACATCACAAGGAGCTTTGCAACAAATGAAGCACTTTTTAAAGTGTAATCCCCTTTGTTTTGTAGCAAAGGTGGCGCCAGTTTGTGCACAGCAAGATCCCACAAACAGCAATTGGTAAAGGATCTGGCAATCCATTTTAGTGTTGGATAAGGGATGAAGGTTACTGAGCTCACTTGGAGACATTGTGTTCTTTTCATGGTACTATAGCACCTTTTACTTAAATTTGAGAGGACAAAGTGAGCTTTGGGTTCAATGTTTTGGCTAAAAGGGAGCCTCTCTCATACTTGGGTGCAGCACTGAAGGGAGCACTGCATATTCAGCTTGGATTTTGTGCTTATTTCAGGAATAGCATGTGAACTCACATTATTCCAAATCAGGTGAGAGTACGACCATTTGAGCACTTTAATTGAAAGTTATGAGAGGTGTGATAATAAAAGTCTCCATAAAGTTATTTTTGTACTTGTCTATGAATTTATGTGAATTACAGTGAATTTTCCTTTTTGGTATTACATACTGAATTTGTCTTCCTGTAATTATCATGTGCAGAAATGTTTATAGAGGTTGACTCCTTTGCAGAGCTTGTTTTCTCCCAGCCATTCAGAGGGAGTTTCCAACCCTCATTCGACGTATTCCCATTGCTGACAGTGACTCTCTTATTCTGTTGGAACAAAGAACAAAGAAAATTACAGCACAGGAACAGGCCCTTCAGCCCTCCAAGCCTGCACTGACATGCTGCCCGTCACAACTAAAACCCCCTACACTTCCGGAGACCATATCTCTCTCTTCCCATCCTATTTGTCAAGACGCCCTTTAAAAGTCACTGTAGTATCTGCTTCCACTACCTCCCCTGGCAGCAAGTTCCAGGCACCCATCACCCTCTGCATTAAAAAAAAAACTTGCCTCGTACATCACCTTTAAACCTTGCCCCTCACACCTTAAACCTATGCCCCTTAGTAACTGACTCTTCCACCCTGGGAAAAAGCTTCTGGCTGTCCAGTCTGTCTATGCCCTTTATAATCTTGTAGACTTCTATCAGGTCGCCCCTCAATCTCTGTCATTCCAGTGAGAACAACCCAAGTTTCTCCAACCTCTCCTCATAGCTAATGCTTTCCATACCAGGCAACATCCTGGTAAATCTTTTCTGTACCCTCTCCAAAACCACCACATCCTTCTGGTAGTGTGGCGACGAAAATTGAACACAATATTCCAAATGCGGCCTAACTAAGGTTCTATACAGCTGCAACATTACCTGCCAATTTTTAAACTCAATGCCCCGGCCGATGAAGGCAAGCATGCTGTATGCCTTGTTGACTACCTTCTCTACCTGCGTTGCCACTTTCAGTGACCTGTGTACCTGTACACCCAGATACCTCTGCCTATCAGAACTCTTAAGGGTTCTGCCCTTTACTGTATATTTTCCATCTGGATTAGACCTTCCAAAATGCATCACCTCACATTTTTCCAGATTAAACTCCATCTGCCATCTCTCTGCCCAAGTCGCCAACCGATCTATATCCTGCTGTATCCTTTTGATGGTCCTCATCGCTTTCCACAATTCCACCAACCTTTGTGTCATCGGCAAGCTTACTAATCAGACCAGTTACGTTCTCCTCCAAATCATTTATATATATTACAAACAGCAAAGATCCCAACTCTGATCCCTGAAGAAAGCCACTAGTCACAGTTCTCTATTCAGAAACGCACCTTTCCACTGCTACCGTCTGTCTTCTAAGACCGAGCCAGTTTTTCATCCATCTTGCAAGCTCACCTCCGACCCTGTGCGACTTTACCTTCTGTATCAGCCTGCCATGAGGGACCTTGTCAAAGGCCTTACTGAAGTCCATGTAGACCACATCCACTGCCCTCCCCTCATCGATCATCTTTGTCACTTCCTCAAAAAACTCAACCAAGTTAATCAGACACGACCTCCCCTTCACAAAACCATGTTGCCTCTCGCTAATACGCTTATTGATTTCCAGGTGGGAGTAAATCCTGTCTCGAAGAATCCTCTCCAATATTTTCCCTACCACTGATCTAAGGCTCACCGGCCTGTAATTAGCTGGATTATCCTTGCCACCTTTCTTAAACAAAGGAACAACATTGGCTATTCTCTAATCCTCTGAGACCTCCCCTGTAGCCAGTGAGGATACAAAGATTTTCCTCAAGGCCCCAGCAATTTCCTCCCTTGCCTCTCTCAATATTCTGGGATATATCCCATCAGGCCCTGGGAACTTGTCTACCTTAATGTTTTTGAAGACCCCAATACCTCCTCCCTTTTGATCTCGACATGAACCAAACTATCTACACCCCCTTCCCCAGACTCATCATGCACCAAGTCCTTCTCTATGGTGAATAATGATGCAAAGTATTCATTTAATACCTCGCTCATTTCCTCTGGCTCCACACATAAATTCCCTTCCCTGTCCTTGAGTGGGCCAACCCTCTGCCTGGCTACCCTGTTACTCTTTAGATATGTATAAAAAGCCTTGGGATTTTCCTTAATCCTGTTGGCCAATAACTTTTCATGACTCCTTTTAGCCCTCCTGACACCTTGTTTAAGTTTCTTTTGACTTTCCTTGTATTCCACCCTTTCTTTGTGTATTCCCAGCCTCCAAGCCTTGATAAATGCTTCCCTTTTCTTTTTGATTATGCTCACAATATCTCTCGTTATCCAAGGTTCCCTAAACTTGCCATACTTATCCTTCATCCTTAAAGGAACGTGCCGGTCGTGAGTTCTGAGCAACTTACACTTGAAAGCCTCCCACATACCATATATTGATTTGCCCTCAAACATCTGCCTCTAACCTACATTCTTCAGTTCCTGCCTAATATTGTTGTAATTAGCCTTCCCCCAATTTAGCACCTTCCGATCTTTATCCATCAGTACCTTAAAACTCACTGAATTGTGATCACTGTTCCCAAGCTGCTCCTCTACTGAGATGTTGACAACCTAGCCAGGCTCATTCCCCAATACTAGGTCCAGTACAGCCCCTTTCCTAATTGGACTATCCACATACGGTTTCAAGAAGCCTTCCTAGATGCTCCTTACAAACTCTGCCCCATCCGAGTCCCAAGCTGTAAGTGAGTCCCAGTCAATATATGGGAAGTTAAAATCACCCACGACAACAACTCTGTTACTCTTCCATCTTGCCAAAATCTGCCTACATATCTGTTCTTCTATCTCCCACTGGCTGTTGGGAGGCCTATAGTAAAACCCAAACATTGTGATTGCACCCTTCCTGTTCCTGAGCTCTACTCATGTTGCCTCACTATATAAGCCATCCAAGGTGTCCTCCCGCAGTACAGCTGTGATATTCTCCTTAACAAGTAGTGCAATTCCCCCATCCTTTTTATATCCTCCTCTATCCCTTCTGAAACATCTGTATTCTGGAACGTTAAGCTGCCAATCCTGTCCCTCCCTTAATCACGTCTCTGCAATAACAACAACATCATAGCTCCAAGTATTAATCCAAGCTCTAAGTTCATCTGCTTTACCTGTTACACTTCTTGTATTGAAACAGATGCACTTCAGTTCCACCAGATCCGCAACCATACCCTGCCTGCGCTTCCTCTGAGTCTTACTGACCCTATTCTCTAGTTCTGTTTCAGTCCATTCACCTTTGCCTTGTTTGCCACCCCCCCACCAAGCTAGTTTAAATCCTCCTGAGTGACACCAGCAAACCTCCCAGCCAGAATATTTGTGCCCCTCCAGTTTAGATGCAACTCGTCCTCCTTGTACAGGTCCCACCTGCCCCGGAAGAGATCCCAATGGCCCAGATATCTGAAAGCCTCCGTCCTACATCATCTGTTTAGCCACATGTTGAGCTGTACTATCCTCCTATTTCTAGCCTCACTGGCACGTGGCATAGGGAGCAATCCTGAGATTACAACCTTGGAGGTCTTGCTTTTTAACTTTCTACCTAACTCCCTGAACTGCTGCTACAGGGCCTCGTCCCTCATCCTATCTATATCGGTAGTACTGAAATGTACCACAACTTCTGGCTGTTCACCCTCTCCCTTCAGAATGCTTTCTGCCCATTCAGAGACATCCTGGACTCTAGCACCCGGGAGGCAATACACCATCCAGGAGCCTCTTTTACATCCACAGAAGCGCCCATCTGTATCCCTAACTGTAGAGTCCCCTATGACTACTGCTCTAATGATCTTTGTCCTTCCCTCCTTCTACTTTTTGTGTTTTGTTTCTGCAGTTTGGAACAATGAATGTTACCCTGGTAAATATCCACCTGAAAGGAGCAGTCCCTACGGAAGAGAAAACTCCCAGTGAAAGCCATCCAATGTCTCTGTTTACAGACACTCTCCAGGAGACCCTGAAAGGTAAAACACTGCACTGTTTGCAAAAGAATTTCCACCCTTCGCCTAATTTATCTGCAGTAATTTCTTACGAGAAACCTTGGCTATAGTGCAGCAGCAAGTTGGGTTCACTATACCTTTACTCCAAGAATAGCTACTGAGTGTGTAAGGAGCTCTGTCCAATCACGTGGAACTGGAGCCCGAATCTTTAGGGTTTCAGAAGATATTCTCTCTTACAGAATAATAAAAGTCTAGTTCTTGGAATGCTGAGTACCTGAAGAAAGGTAGAAAGTTACTGTCAGCATCTGTGGTGAGACAAACAAATTAACATTTCGAGTTTAATATCACTCTTTGGAAATCAATGACGCTGCCAGACCTGCTGAGTTTCTCCAACTCTTTGTTTTCATTTCCTCTATTACCATTTTTTGTTTACAGTTATGCTTAATAATGTTAATGTTTATTTCCAAGAATGTGGACCTGATGTTACCACATGTACAATTGTTATTTCTTTTTCTCTTCCTTCTGCTCCTGTCCTAAGGATGTGATGGTTGGTTCCTGTTGATTCCTTGCCACCTTTCTGTACTTCTCTGCACTTACCATCATTATACATGGGAATAATATTAACAAAATGCTATGTTATGTATAACAAATTTGTCAGTCTATATACATAGTTTCTGAGCTGTTTAGTTAACTTTAATTGATGGTTAATATTACACCAACTTTGAGGGATTATTTCAGAAAATGACCAGGTCACAACACTAATCCTAATGTTTTAAATACAGTATTTTTGGATATTATTTCTGATGTACAAAGCTACTGTACTATGCATTGGCCGTAAAATTGATCTAGTTTTTCATTTATATATGGCCAATACTACCTTCTATCTTGAAAAACAGTGGAATGACCTTGGTGTCCTGGCCAATATTCGTCATTCAACTAACATTGCTACTGCTTTTTGCTTGCTCCCTGGCTGCAGAATTTGCAACAACAGTGATGACACCTTTTTAAAAATACTTTATTAACAGTGAAGTGCTTCAGTGGAGCCCCTGAGGGTTGTGAAAGATGTAGTAGAAGTGCAGGTCTTTTCACAGACTTGTGATATCTCAACAGCGTCTATGCCAACGTTACATTATTTGCGCAGTAAGGGAAGAATAAAGCTGAGTGCATGAGTCCTTGGTGGAGATGTAAGATTTATTTTGCTTATGAGGATGCTGGATTGTCTACACTGCCAAGCAGTTGATGTTTAACAGGTCATTTCTGGTGTTTTCTAGTATTTTTGATCAGCTGTAGTTAAACCTTTCAAACCAAGAATCATTGACATGAAAACAAAGTATTTGTCAAACTTTATTTATTACATAGACTGTACTGCCACTGGTATTCCACCCCTAAGATATGATTTTGTTTTTATTAATGTTTTTTCTTAAATTAATAAACACCGTCATAGAAGGATACAGCCCACTGTTATTCATCATTTATATAAATAATTTGGATGAGAATTCAGGAGGTACTGTCAACGGGTTTGTGGATGACACAAAGTTTGGTGGTATAGTGGACAGTGAAGAAGGTTATCTGGGAGTACAGCAAGATCTTGATCAGCTGGGTCAGTGGGCTGAGGAATGGCAGATGGAGTTTAATTTAGATAAATGCAAGGTGTTGCATTTTGATAGGTCAAACTAGGGCAGGACTTACACAGTCAATGGTAGGGCTCTGGGGAATGTTAAAGAACAAAGAGATCTAGGGGTACAGGTTCATAGCTCCTTGAAAGTGGAGTCACAGGTAGACGGGGTGGTGAAGAAGGCTTTCAACTTGCTTCCTTTCAGCGGTCAGAGCGTTGAGTGTAGGAGTTGGGACGTCTTGTTGCAGCCATGTGTACACATTTCGAGTACTGCGTATAGTTCTGGTTACCCTACTATAGACAGGATATTATTAAACTAGAAAGAGTGCAGAAAAGATTTACTAAGATGTTTCCTGGACTGGAAGGTTTGGGTTATAAGGAGAGGCTGAACAGGCTGGGAGTTTTTTTTCCCTGGAGTGTAAGAGACTGAGGGGTGACCTTATAGAGGTCAATAAAATCACGAAAGGCATAAATAAGATAGAGAGCCAGCAGCTTTTCCCTATGGTAGGGGAGTTTAAAACTAGAGGGCATGGGTTTGAGGTGAGAGTGGAGAGATACAAAAGGTTTCAGAGGGGCAATCTTCTCACACAGAGGGTGGTGAGCCCCTGGAACAGGCTACCAGAGGTAAGTTGGAGGCAAGTACTATTTTGTTGTTTTAAGAAACATGGATGGGATAGGTATGGAGGGATATGGATCAAATGCAGGCAAATGGGATTAGATTAATTGTGAAAACTGGACAGTTTGGATAAGTTGGGTTGAAGGGCCTGTTTCCATGCTGAAAACCTCTATGACTCTAATTGTAAATTTATACAGTTTGTTTAAACCCTTTTTCAATTCCTTTAAATGTTCCAATTTAAACATAACTAGCAACAAAGTTTTAGTGTTAAACAAGCTAAAGGTTAGTTTATTATCTAACCATTGCTGACAATTGCTAAGTAAATAAAAGTAACACAGTTATTAGTATAAGAAGATACAAAGGATAAAAATAGATGAAAGGAAGGCCAGTTGATGATAATTGCAGGCCCGTGAGTTACTGAAAAATTCTCTCGGAGTTGAAGGGGTTGACAACTTGAAAATGCAATTCAGCAACTACAATGGTTTTTGAAGTTGAACAGTTGGAAGTTGCTTTAACAGATGGATTTGAGCAAAACAAGTTCTGGAAGGCAGTGAAGGCTCTTTTATATCTCTTTTATGGCATTGCAGGTGATGGTCCCTTGGTAGTCTAGTTCAGTACGCAGCAGTTCTTAGCTGGCTTGCCTTTGTGTCCTCTCCCTCTTGAGAGCTTTCTGATGTGAACTGATGCAGTCTGTCAGAGATCTTCTTGGTGATCTTTTCAAAATGCTCCTTTAGCCTGTCTTCAGATCAAAATTCAAAATGGCTGCTATTAATGTTAAGAATCAGAGTTCCACAGAGTTAGCATTTGTGTTCCTGGAACTCTCTTTGAGGGGCCCTTCCAGTCTCCTGCAACATTTTTCTCTGAAACTTTGAATTCTCAAACTTTAATAAGCGCCTACTGTAACAAACATGAGAAACTCAGCAGATCTGGCAGCGTCTGTGGAGAGAGAAACAGAGTTAACAATTCAAGTCTGATATGTCATGATACAACACTTCTTCAGAACTCAGTGGACCTATTGGACCTATTATGTTGTTCAAGGGGTAATTGAATTCTAAATTGCTCCACTTTGAGTTGATGTTGAGTTAATACCCCAGCTATGTTTTTCCAGCTGAAATGAATCAATGGGGATATCCATATGACCCTGGGAGCCACTTAGCAGGATTCTGTATTTCGGTGAGACTAGCCTCCTGTACAAAAATACGTATGACTCTTACACAGTCATGACAAAACTCTCAATTTACAACTGGTTAATAAACAGGCAACCACAATAACTAATACCTTAGACAGGGAACCAGTAAAAGCTGATTTAATGTTAACTACCACTAAGTTCTAATTTTAAGACAGTTTTAAAATCTCATTTTAGCACTAATTTCAAGTATGGTTCTAATCCCATCCTGAATAAATGTTAGTGTTCCATTGAATTTGATTCTGCCTGTTCAGAAACATTTAAATAATTGATTTTTTTTCAAGTCATACATTCTGTCTGCCCAGCTGCAACCCAACATTTCACAACTTTGTATTGTTCAGTAGCTGCCTTCCATTGTCTGTTGGAGCATTGCAAAGACCAGGTAGATCCCTTGTACTGAATTACATGCCAAGTTGCTAACTGCCATCATTCATTCAGCATTAACAGCCTCCCTACTTGTTTGTTTGTTTATTTGGAAGACTGAAGCCATTGTGTTTAGCCTGTGTCAAAAGCTTCATTTCTTTGGCACTGAATCCATTCACCTCCTCTAGGCTGAACCAGATTGTTTGAAATAAAGAAATAAATAACTTCATGAACTATTTAGATGTGCACTTGCGATGCAAAGGCATGCAAGGTTATTGACTAAGTGCTGGAAAATGGGACTAAAATAGATAGGTGGTTATTTCTAACTGGCATGGGCAGAGTGGGCTGAAGGGCCTGTCTCTGTACTGTAGGACTCTGTGACTCTATGACATAGAAGCATGAGTCATTGATATGTACAGCAGTGGAAAGGGCCCTTCAGCCCAAACTGGTCCATGCTGACCAACAAGTCCATCCACGCTAACCCCATTTCCCTGCACTTGGCCCATATCCTTCTAAACCTTTCCCATCCAAGTATTCGTCCAAATGCCTTTTAAATGTTGTTAATGTACCCACCTCAACCACTTCTCCTGGCAGCTCATGCCATATGCGTACCATCCTCTGTGAAGAAACCTTGCCCCTCAGGTTCACATGTATTCTTTCCCCTCTTACCTTAAACTGATGCCTTCTAGTCCTCGATTCCCCAACCCTGGGAAAAAGACTGAGTGCATCCACCCTATCCATGCCTCTCATGATCTTATGCACTTCTATAAGATCCCCCCTCTGTCTCCTAAGCTCGAAAGAAAAAAGTCCTAGCTTGTCCAACCTCTCCCGAGAACTCCGTCTCTTGAATCCTGGCAACATCCTTGTAAATTTCTTCTGCGCTCTTTCCGGTTTAATAACATCTTTCCTATAGCAAGCTGACTAAAACTGAACACAATACTCCAACATAACTTCCCAACTCACTGCCCTGTCTACCTGTGACTCCACTTTCAGAGAACCGTGCACCTGAACTCCAAGGTCTCTCTGTTCCACTACACTCCATTAGGCTCTACCATTCATCATGAAACTCCTACCTTGACTTGACTTTCCAAAATGCAATACCTTACACCTATCTATATTAAAATCCATGTATGTAGCACCTTTCAAGACCTCAAGATATTCGAAAGTACTTGAAAGTCAATTAAATACTTTTGAAGTGAAGTCACTGTTATAATGCTATTTTTAATTCTCTTTTTATTTAATCTGATTTTCTAATCAACCTGTTCAGAGTTATTACAACACACCTCTGGAGCAGGTGGGACTTGAACCCAGGCCTCCTGGTCCAGTGTTAGGAACACAAGAGGGCCTGTTATAATGTTAATATCTTCAACTCCAATTGAAATCCACATCTTGCCAAATTACTGAGATTATTTACTTTCATCTCTATAACACTGTTCACAAATGTCCCTACCTAGCCCTCTCTAGTTCTGAACATCACCTTTGTCAATTCTGAGTTACAATTACTGCTGGCTTCCCTAGATAACTTCAACTCGTACAAATAACTTGTGCTGATATCCTGTGTTGCAATGTGCGAGGACAATGACTCCATCAGACCAAAATGACTAAAGAACCAGTTTGTTCCTTCAGGCCAGTAGCAGGGAAAAGGTTAAATCTCCTAAAACTTCTTTTATTGAAGAAGAAAATAGTAATACTGAGTCAAATCCAGATTCATGGATGTTAATGGTAGCTCTTTGGTGCTGAAGAGCCTGAATTCTCTTACATGTTGAATGCACCCTGGATTAAAACTGTTCCCTAGTGATTGACTGCACACTACTAATAAGCCAGATAGAGCTGTTAATGACTAAAATTGTTGAAATGGTTTGTTTTATTTGTAGGTGAAAAGGACATTGTTATTTTGGGGGACTTCAATCTGTCACCTGATGTGAATGATTTTGACCTCCTACGAAAGGAAAGATTCCTTCACTGTGTTCCAGCAAATACTTACACAAACATTAGCACTAAGAACCCCCAGGGTTCAAAATCTACAGACAACATCTGGATCAGTCGCTCACTCAAGAAAACATATTCAGGTATGAATCAAATCTGATGAGGACAAATTGGCAGCCATGCAAACTATACAATTTGTTCTTTTTTTCTTAAGTTAAAAACTGTACAAGTCACAAGGTAGATATGTGGTTAAATTAAATGATCTGGATGCTCCTTTCTAACTAGCTTGTTACAGAACTACTGTTATAATGTAATGCAGTGGCATTTGGTGACTTGGAATATGTGAACCACAGTCCAGTGTGCTTTCAGTTTGTTGTTTGTCATGCATGCAAATACTGCATGAGAATAGAATATATATATATCCTCTTAGAACAATTCCAATTACCTTTATCTTTAATTTTGACCATGTCATTAAGTATAATCCAATTAAGAATCCAAAATCTGTGTGCGGCACTGCTCCCTCACAGCGCCAGGGACCCAGATTCAATTCTAGCCTGGGGTAACTGCCTGTGTGGAGTTTGTACCTTCTCCCTCTGTCTGCATCAGTTACATCCGGGTGCTCCGGTTTCCTCCCACAGTCCAAAGTTTAGGTGGATTGGCCATGTTAAATTGCCCATAGTATCTAGGATGTACAATACATAAAATGATCCATACCATCCCTACAGTGTGGAAACAGGCCCTTCATCCCAACAAGTCCACACCGACCCTCGGAGCATCCCACCCAGACCCATTCCATAAACTCACCTAATCTACACATCCCTGAACACTGGGAAATTTAGCATGGCCAATCCACCTAGCCTGCACATCTTTGGACAGTGGGAGGAAACCGGAGCACCCGGAGGAAACCTACACAGATATGGAGAGAATGTGCAAACTCCACACAGACAGTTGTCTGAGGGGGAAACGAACCCGGGCCTCTGGCGCTGTGAGGCAGCAGTGCTAACCACTGAGCCACCGTGCCGCCCCAGGTTAGGTAGATTAGCCAGTGTGAATACAGGGATAGGGTGGAGGGCTGAGTCTGGGTGGAATGCTCTGTGGAGAATCCTTGAGACTTGATGGGCCAAATGGCCTTTTGCTGGACTGTAGGGATTCTATGATTTCCTGTCTGAAAGCCTTGGTGCTATCAACTTATCTCATTCATAAATTCCTGTTGTTTGCATTTATAATGGAAGTTGTCATCTATACTTGTAATGTTATAAATATGCCCTACCAGAAGTGGTGGTGTAGATCCCACAGTTGTGCATCTCCATGTAGCTTATACCACAGAGAAAATCCATTGTTCTAATCAACTCTATTTCCCAAGTGCCCAACATTTTGTTTTTTAACAAAAGATACTTACTAAATAAAGGAACTGTAATATAAAGGAAGGCCAGAATGTGTGACTTTAAGGTAATGATAAGAATTACATCTGGATTACTTAGTACGTCCTTCACTTCAGGGTTCCACTCAGTCTTCACTCCCTGCCATGTGATGCTGATACTAATGGACATCTTCTACTGTGCTGGTCAAAAAGTTCATAATGTCATCTAATTCACTACTTCAAACACAAAAATTAAGTCTGTATTTACAGAACTTTTTTTTTCCTTTTATAAACTCTTCAAAGTCTTATGTTTTGCTCCTTATCTAAGGTTCTAGGTTTGCTAACAAAATTCAACTAATGCCATCTACTGCCCATCACCTTGCCGTTAAAGTCCATCATCTATAGATGATTCTAACTGACAGTTAGAGTTTTCAAGATTATGATCAATGTTTTCGGGTTATACAAAGGATTAAAGGCATATAGATGTTGAGGTGTTGATCTCCAGGAATGGCACAGCAGGCTCAAAGGGCTGAGTAGCCTACTCCTGCTTCTATATTCCCCAGGGTTTTCATAAGTGAGCCTGATTTTGTCCTGCCTGATATCCACACTGCATGTATTTTCCAGCAAAGGCAGTCTGAATACAACCAGCAAAGATCCAGATGATTATTTAGTCACCTTCACCATTTCCTTAGAAGCATTGCAGCATCCTCTTTCTCACCAGATTCTGCAGAAGTTATTTTCTTGGTGGATTACTCACTGTAATGAAAGGATGGGGAAGTGATACCCACACTGTGTTGACCATGATCTGTAGATGAATAAAGGGATATTTGTCAAGGTATTATTTAAATTGACAGTATGCCATTGATATAAAATAAGTAAACGTTGAAAAACAACAACAATTTGCATTTTTCTAGCTCTTTTCATGAAATAAAAAAAGTCCTATAGTACACCATGGAGCCATTATCAGACGAACATACAAATTAGGAGCAGGAGTAGATCTCTTTGCCTGTCAAGCCTGCTCTACCATTCAGGAAGATCATGAGTAATCTAATTATTCCAAATGCCCATCTATCCCCAATAATCTTTTGCTTTATGTGCACTTTGCCTTTAAGAGAGTTCGCCTTTAAGGACTTCATGTGCTGTGTGTATACAGTGCTGTGACTCTGTCTGGCAGATAGTCTGCTGCGGGCCACCAAGCAGCAAACGTAAATAAAGCAGGTGGTCTGCTGTAATGTTTGCTGCTTAACTGTATTGTGTTTTACTGTGCTGATTAAACTAACTCACTGAGATAATCAGCCTCTGATGAGAGATTAATTGTTAGATTAATTATTTTTAATTATTAATCATTAACATAAACAGGGGTGGAATACATCATGCAGATAAGGCCTGTTACTTGAGCAGTCACCAAGGAAGTTGTTCTACAGGTAGAACACATGGTTGAGTTTGATACAATATGTTAAAGTGCATGAGACAATTCTTGTTATCTTTGTTACATCACTAAGATTGCCGAAAACACAGCTTGGTGGTAGCAGACAAAACCCTATCAAGTAGCCAGTTTAGCTCACTTGAGAAAGGCAAGTGATCAGGTTGTTGATGATACTGAGCAAAGGAAGGTCAAAGGCATTTGATCAGAATGTCCACAAAATTCCCTAGTTGGGACATAGCAGACTTCCTAACAGAATTTAAAATGCTTTAAATGTGCTCCAAGTTATGTTTATAGATTTAGATGTGTCCAATGCAGAAAAACTAGCCATTAAGATTTGCTTGGCAATTAGGAATGCACATCTACATAGACTTACCACATCAGAACCAACAGCCAAAGAGTTTTTTAAAAAATCCCAAAAGGTATGGATCACATTAGAAAACCTATTAAGTATCAGAAACGAAAACAAAAATTGGTGGAAAAGCTCAGCAGGCCTAGTAGTATCTGTGGTGAGAAATCAGAGTTAACGTTTCGGGTTCAGTGATCAGACTAAACTCGGCAGGTCACCGCACCCAAAACGTTATCTCTGATTTTTTTCTCCACAGGTGCTGTCAGACCTGCTGAGCTTTTCCAGCAACTTCTGTTTTTGTTCCTGATTTACAGCATCTGCAGTTCTTTTGGTTTTTATCAGATTAAACTTCTGTATTTATTGATTAGAATTCAGGTCATTTAGTCAGAAGTCTGCAGGATCCATTGACTGCTTTATGAACAGATGCAGAGGAAAAGGCTCATTACGTGATCTTTCTAGTAGGGTGCTCACAAACAGAATTGTCAAGTTGGTAATCACATCCACCATCAAGGAAGTTTTCCAGAAAGGTTTGTTAGATAAACAAAACATTTATACCATCAAAGAGCTACTGAAGGATGGAACACAAGTACAAAATGATATTCCCAGGTCAACGAAGCTTACAGATCCTAACCTTGAACTCAACAGTTGAGACAATCATTTGAAGACTCGAGCATAGCAAGCCGTGTGGATGCACAATATAGTGCTTCGCCTTCAATAAGTTTTCAAGGCTTAAGGCAGAAGTGGCCATTTCAATCAGTGCACGAGAGCCAACACTGATGCAACTACAATGAGCTGTGCACCAACCCAAAGAAGATGCACACAGGGAGTACCCTCAGGTTGGAATAAAGAACATCCTGCCCGGGATGTATACTGATCAACAAACCTGATACTGGTGACAGACACAATGAGAAAAAGACTGCTGACCCCAAGATTCACACTATGAACCATTTGGAAAACATCCATATTATCACTCCGTACTAAGAGTTTGCCAAATTACAAGTTATTTGTTTTCCAGAAGTTATAACATGGGGCAAGTGCCAATTTCCTATCCCTGTGAATTCCAAAAAAAAAGTACCCAAACATAGGAAGCCATAATGAAACCTATAAATGTAGCTCACCAATTTCATGCGCAGGAGCGATAGCGTTGCATTGAAAGTACAATCAATCTTCCTGGATGTTGCAGATGTTCTACATCATAGACATTGCTGGATCAGCATGGATCATCGTTTTGGTTCTCTTTGTTCCAATATGGGCATACATCCCAATCCAGATACAATAGAGGACATTAAAGTCATGCCAACTCCTAAGACAATTTTGATCTTTGAAAATTTCTAGGTCTCTTTAATTTCTTCCCTGTTTTGCTCAAAGATCTTCATTGTTAGGAAATTATTGAGAACTTGCATTGCTTACTGTTGCACGAGGACCACCAGAGCATCTTTGAAGCACTGAAATAGTCACCGTCAAAAGCATCAAACTTGCAATTCTATGACCCCGGAGAGACAACAGTCTTTGAAGATAGATGTCTCACCAAGACGTCTGGGAACATGTCAGTAAAAAGCAAATTGATTGCATTTGGTTCAAAAGCTTTCTTGAGAGTCCAACTACTCAAATATTCAGAGACAACCATTAGCTTTAGTTTTGAAGTCATGCTTTTGTATGCCTCTGCAGTCAGCAAAAGATTTGTGGTGGAAACAGATTGCAAACCATTTGGAGATGATTTGATGAAAACCATTGACCAGTATGTTGCCAAAATTGCAGTGTTTCCTGACCAAGAAATCCGAGGGTATAACTTTGAGGTTCATTACAGACCAGGTAACCTGATGCTCACACTTAGCAGACTACCCAATCTGTTGAGAACAGAAGCTATTCCCTGGGATCTGCAAGTTGATTTCATTAACGTCAAATTTTAAGATGTTGTCCAATTGACTTAGTACCTTTCATTCAGTTCGAAGGCTAGCCACTGTAAGAAGGTATAGAAAAAGATTCCATGCTAAAGAAATTATAGAAAAACATTGTTGAAGGATGAACTTATTCAATTCAGTATGTCCATGAACACATGAGACTTGCTGGCTTTTTTGGGATGAGCTAGGCATCTTTCTAGGTGTCATTTATAAAGGAAGGAAGGTCATCATGCTAGAATCATTATGACCTAATATTGTTCAACAACAACTTTTCCAATTTATGCCCACATGAGAGAGATGAGAAGACTTGTAAGAGAGCCAGTATATTGGCTTAGTATTAGCAGTGACATCTCTGCTTGTTAAGAACTGCAAGGCATGTCATGAGTATATGCCAAGTTACTGCAAACAGCCATTGATTCTGTATAAATTGCCTGCCCTGTCTTGGTCCTGAATGGAATTACATCTTTTTCATGTCCATGGAAATGACTTGCATCGTTATCATTGACTACTTTTACCCCATCATTTGTCAATTCATCAAGTACAACAATTACATGCACTCTGAGCTGCATTTTAGATCATTTGACATCCCGAGAGAGATTATTACAGATAATGCTCCACAATGTATTGGCAAACCAAACCAGGATGTGTAGAAAAATGGATTATTGATCACATTACTTCCTCTTTGCATTATCCCAGCTCCAAGCTCTAGCTGAAAGCATGATTCACCCAATGAAAAATCTAATCCTCCAGTGTCGGCAGTTGAAGCAAGATCTGCTTATTAAAATTTTACATTTGAGAGCATAATCACCAAGTGCAATCATTCCATCCCTGGCAGAGTTCACGTTTGGCAGGCCAGTGCATTCGAATTTACTGAGTTCTACCCAAAATATTCCTTTTAGAACTCAAAAGCAGCTTGTAAAACTGCAAGATGACAAACATGCACAATAAAAATGCAGAATTGCCAAAGTTACCAGTGGGACAGTAAGCTCTCATTCAGAGCTACCAGAGAAGGGACATGGTGACCAGCCAAAGTGACAAGAATGTGTTTAAAACGAAGATCCTGTTAGATTCATGACATGACAATGCACTGGTGAGTCAGAACTAAGGGCAAATCAGGTCTGTTTCAGTTTCCCAATCGCCCCAGTACTGTTGTGTCATGAGCAAGATTCTGAAATCCAATAGAAATGACAAACAATAGCACTGATGACTCTGAGCAATTAATGGCACCACCAAACAAAGTCACCACCCCAGGATACAAGTATGAACAAAAGATTCATTGGGTACCACAATACCCTATTATGAATACAATGAAATTATGGAAAATGTGAAGGTTTTGTTCTTTGAAGGCTAGTTCTCATTCTTTCTACTGGAGGTGGGCAACGGGACAGTGGTCATCCAGTGTCATGTGTAGCTGCCCATGGTCATTAGCCAAGATGATTTAGACAGGAAATATCCTTTTTGCGTCTGCCCTGACGAGACCCTTCAGGATCCTATAGAGTTGCCTACTCTTTTAAACCCCAGATGATACAAGCCGAGCCTGTCCAAGCTTTCCTCATAAGACAAACCACCTATCCAGACATTAATCTAGTAAACATTCTCTGAACTGCTTCCAATGCACTTGCATCCTTCCTCAAGTAAGGAGACTGATATTGTACATTATTAAAAAATGTGGTCTCATTAACGTCCTGTGCAACTGAAACATAACCTTCCTTCTTTTGTATTTAATTCTCCACGCAATAAACAGTAGCATTTTATTAGCTTTCTTAATTATTTGTTGTACCTGCATACTCATCTTTTGCAATTCATGCATTTGGACATCAATATCCTCTGCAATCTCTCATCTTTTAGATTTTTTAAAATTCTGCCAAAATGGACAATTTCACATATTCCTGCAGTATTCTCCGATTGCCAGATCTTTGACCACTCACTTAGCCTATCTTTATCCCTATATATCCTTCTTGTTTTCTCTTCATATATTACTTTCTTACCTATCTTTGTGGTATCAGTAAATTCAACAACCATATCTTCATTTCCTTCATTTGTACCTGCATATCTGCAAGCAGTTCCATAAATAGTGAAAATTTGAAGCTCCAACATGGTCCATGTGGCACAGCATTTGTTACATCTTGCCAAAGAAAAAAGAATCCAATTATACCAGCTCATTTTAGCCAGTTCTGCTTTTGTGTCCTTGTAATTTCATTATCTAACTTTAAAATACCAGTTTTGGACCTCCTTTCCCCTTAAATTATTGAATTTTACATTCAATTTAATGATTGCTGCCAAGGTGGACCCCTTGCCTCCGAGCTTATCAATTAATCCTATTCATTGCACAATACCAATCTAATAAAGCCTACATTTTGTGAATTCATCTAGTCTACCTTTACCTATCCTATTTTTCCAGTCTGTATGTAGATTTAAATCGCCACGTGATTATTGCTGTACCATTCTGACAATCTCTTATAATTTCGTCCTTTATTCTCCATCCTGCCATGTGGTTACTATTAGGGGCCATGTACACCACTCCCACCGATTAATTTTCATCTTTATCAATTCTCAATTCTACTGGGACCGTTTCTACATCCTTATTTCCTGAAGTTAGGTCATTCCCTCTCTATTGTGCTAATACTATCATTAATTAATAGATCACTCCTCAACCATTTCATAACTTCCTATCCTCCTCAAATGCTATATATGTTTCAGTATTCAGTATTCCCATTCTATGTCTGTTTGCAGCCATATTTCTGTGATGGTATTTAGATTGTATATACAGTAAACGTTTTATTAATTGGCACCTATGGGACCAGGAGTGTACCAGTTGATCAAATATTCTGGATAATCAAGGTATGCAGTAAACCCTAACCAAACAAAGCTTTGAGATGTCAACATCACCTCAAAAAATCTATGTAAAAACATCAATGCACCTCCTAAAATCAATGTTAAAAACACTGTTTATATATAACTGAAAAAAATCATAGAAAATACGGGGAGACAGAGACCCATCAGTGCTTATGCACTCAGCCAGGGAATCCTGAAGATGGTTAGAGATTAAACCAGTCGGTTCAGTCGACGCACCCCCTCCAGCCCATCCTACAAAAACACTAAGTGTAAACTGAAACGTAGCAGTGAAAGGATCTTGCATGCACGATACTCACTCAGTTATGAGCAGCATGCTCTGTGTTGTGACTTCCCACCACCACCTTTGCACCCCCCTCAACCCATCCCAGTGGCACGTCCATCTCTCCTCCAGGAATGAGAATGCCCTCCAGTGCCGCCGCTCATGTGGCTGCAGCCACCAGTTCCTTTATCCCCTCGTCATTCTGGACGGCAATCCACAAAATCCACTAACATGCCAACTGTCTGGTCATCTTGGTTCTTGGCCGCATGGGTTTTCTCAGTCAGTACCTCTTCCTCCTGCTGCTTGGTTGAGTATTCCTCTTGCACCACGTCTATGGTGTCGATAACGTTGGCCATGGTTGTGTTCTCTGCTTTCTCCTGCAGGTTTGGCATTCTGATTTACAGCATAAATACTCAGGTATTGCGGTAGATTGCTGTATTTGAGGTATTTAATTTTTACAGGTTTGTCAAGAGTGCCACTTGATAAGCTGATGTTTAAAACAAAGTTTGCTGTAGTTTTACTTGAGGTACTGGCTAATCTGTTGTGTTTTGAATGTTATGTGCATTCAGATACAATAAAAATTGGCATTAAACTATATAAGCAGGCTTTAGGATGAGTGATTAAAAGTTTGGTCAAAGAGGTAAGTTTTAAGGAATATGGTAAGAGGAGGAGAGAGGTTTAAAGTGATAGGGAGGTTTAGACACTTCATTTACCTTCATGTTATACACTGTCATAAATAGCTCTGATAATACTTGGTGCAAAAATAACTTCAACTGTTTGAGTTCAATTTTATTTCTGATTTGTGTTTGCCTTTGACAGCAGTCTGATATTTTTAAGCTTTACTATTTTTTTCAAAATTCAGATATTACCACGGGTTACAGTGTCAGATAAAGAAGAAAGGCTTCTTTTCCGTCTCTCTCTGCAGCTCCCTGTCGTTGTGTGTGGTTTGCCTTCCTAAATATGTTTGCAATTTTTTTGCCCCCCGTGTTATGCAGGTCATTGGGCTGTTATTAGGGAAGGTCTCACCAACCCCTGGATTCCTGACTGTTGGTCATGGGGAGGAGTTGCGTCTGACCATTGTCCATTATGGGCAGAATTCTGCATAGACAAAGACTTAAACAGGAAAGTGCCATTTGGAAACGGCAGTGCAGTAACTGTTGATCAAGCCGATGGGAGCACGAAGGATGAGCGGTGACACGCAAAGACTGTATGCCATGTTGTTATTGGACATTTATCACAGAAGTTATTTGTCAATGAAACCAGTGAGTGACTGAATGTGAAAGAATCTAATCTGCCTTTTAACGAATAACTTTCAGTTGTGATGTGATTTATTTCTACTGCAAATAAGTATGTTATAGAGAAACATAGTCAATTGTTCTTTTTTGGTGGGGAACTGGAGTAAGAAGAGACTTTTAAATTGAAGAAAAGATACTTTATGCCAAATGAAGTGGCAGTTTAACATAATGTTATTAATATACCCTATTTTGAAAAAGAGAATGGCATTAAGTTTAGTTTCTTCCTTCTGTCTTTCCAGTTCAAAAACTGTCAAGGTACTGCACTATTCAATTCAATACCACTGATGTAGCTTGAATTCAGAAGCTAAACACAAAAAATCTACAGCTGCTGCTGGCATTTTGTGCTTTGGGTAACACATGATATAAAAGGTTAAATTTGTACATAAACCTTCCCAAAATAGTAAAACAAAAGATTTTATTTTGTGATTATTGCACAGAACTTTAGAATATATTTGTTCCTATTCTGATATTAGCAATACAAAAAGATTTAAAAAAAAGAATCTATTTGTACTGATCTTGTACTGGTACAGTACTTTATGGAGAGTGAAAATGTTTGGTACGCTAAGATTGCATCTATTGCACATTAGTAACATACTGCTGGGGTAATTCATAATTTGCCTGAACCCAGGGAGTTTTAAGGGATGAGTCTGCATTCTGCAGCAAAATGGTGCTAGCACAGTGTAGCTAGATCTACAGTCCAACACTTGAGCATTGACTGTCTCCTGTGAGCCTGTGACTAGAATACCAAAATGGTACCATTTATGACTATTACTATTATTACAACTTGTAATATGAAATTGTATGTTACTCTAAAAATGCACCTTTGATTTAAAAAGCTAATAAACTTAACCAATGTGAGTAAATTGCTGATGCACCTGTCATTGTTGAAGATATGAAGATGATTAAAATACTTTGTGTGATGCTGATTACGGAACGGTACCATTTAAGCATCACAAGTGACCTTTTACTTCTGAAAGAAAGTCAGTCCTGCCTTTGTCTTGCATAGGCTGGTATCAAAAACTCAGTGTAAATTAGTAATGGGCTGTGACTGGTTCAGGTTATTGATCCAGCAAGAAAGAAAGATGAGCATCATGCTTATTTTATTTCAAATCTACCAAAGAATTGAGTTTTAGTTGAAGGGAGAGTTGGCAAGCATTACAAATGCAATAAGCCTTGCCTAAAATTAAAAGGGACCTTTTCTGAAAAGATTGTAATGTTGTACCACTTGTATGATGTGAAAGCAAAGATGGTAAGAAAAGACAACGGTGAGTAAAAGGCAAAGCAAACATAGAGCAAACCCTCTTGACCATGTCCTGTCCACCCCTCGGTTTATACCCTGTCTCTCGATCCCAGTTCATGTTTTACCACGCTCCCCCCCCACCCCCCCCCCCACCCCACCCCCACACCCTTGACCCTGCCCGGCCTCCTTCTTTCTCACCCCAACTGTCCCTGTGTCCTAACTTCTGCTGGTAGACATAGAATCTTGATGCTTTGTTGCCCTGTTTCATCTCTTATCAACGAAGGCCCCTTCTCTGAGTGTGGGGTCTCCGTATATTCAAATATCTTAGTCATCCCAGTCTGGAGTGCACCTTGTTTGAATTGAGCCACTTCATATTGATTGAATTTCAAATAGGTACTTGTTCCCTTGCCAACACCATTGTTGTATAGCCTTGTCCTTCAGAACTCCTTGATATATTTTGTCACGTTTTGATGACCGACATTGAATTAAACATTAAATCCAAAATTGGATGCAAATGTGATATCATTGAGAGTAGCATAGTAGCTGATATCTGGAGGGTTGTTTTTAGCATTCCTTGGCAAATTGGTATAACATTGAATGAAACTCCTCAAAATTAGCTCTAACCTTTGAGCATAAAATAAGTAAAATTTCCTTTAAGTTTGTTAGCATCCTTATTCTTAAGACTTATATTCGACACATTTCCATTTTACAAATGCTAGCTCAACAGAGGAAAAGTCTTAATTATTGATGGCCACAGAGACAATTGTTCTTTATCATACTTGTCCCTCTGAATGTGAACATTCAGAAGTTTAATTCCCTTATAAAAAATATTCTGCTGTTCTATTCTTGCAACAAAGGCGAATAACCTCACAGTTCTGTACATTATACTGCATCTTCCACTTTGTTGCCCATTCACTTGACCTGTCAAGTCTATATCACAGGCGTTAAAAGCTCCAAGCAGATTGAGAAAGTTGCTCTAAGGGCTATCCTTTAGGGACTGATCTGATGACATATATGTGCCTGGAGCGCTGCCAATGATGTTGAGGAAAGGTACAACAGAAACGACATCACCACAGGTCATTGGCTCGTTGAAATAAGATCTGGGAATGCCTTTGGGTACACATGGCACTGAAGAGGGTACTGAAGCCACAGGCAGAGGAGTTGCAGGCAGTTTAGTCTCCTGCAAAGAGAAGGGAGAGGAGCATAATGTGAGTACAGTACTGACAGAGAAACCTGTGACAGCCTCATCGATAATTTACAAACTTGACATCATATAGCACTGAACCTAACCCCTCTGGATCCTGCTGCCCATGAGAAAACACTCCAACAATTATAAACAATTCTAGCACAAGTATGCATATCGCAAATACTCATCTGGCGACACAGTTCCAATAAAGCTTTGTGTTCATTGTGTCAAAGGAGACAACAATGAAGAGTGCAAAATAATGAATTGTAAAGAAGCTATCTCAAACAGCCACGTGAAATCAAAACTAAGAAGTCTTCATCAATTTTCTTTAATCCTATGTGGTTCTACCCTTGTGGCTTCAGAAGAGCTGGAGACAGACTGTTTATTTCACTGATGTAATGAACGTCTCTGGTGGAAATCCTTTGGGTTCCAGAGTCTGTGCCACCTCCTTCAAAGACTGTCCTGTCCACTGATGCAGACTCTGTCCATGTGGCAGGAGGACACAATTGTTTTGTCTGACACAGGAAGCAATAGGTATAAGAATTGGGTATACCTTGAGAAGAGTCGTCTTCCTCAATCTGATGGTCCATATGAACTTTTTTGGCTAACAGAGTTGGAAGCAATGTTGCTGTATTTAAGTGAAGTGTTGAGCAATGACAAAGAGAAAAAACAATATAGTACAGGAATGAGCCCTTCAGTCCACCAAGACTACATTTGACACAGGATGCCTTTCTATACTAAAAACCTTTTGCCTCCATGTGGTCCATAGCCCTTTATTCCCTTCTCATTCATATATCTGCCTCTTAAACATTGCTATTGTATCCATCCTCACCAGCACCTCTGGCAGCAAGTTCCAAGCACTTACCACCTTCGTGTAAAAAAAAAAAAAAAAAAAAAAAAAAAAAAAAATTTGCTTCTCATCTCATTTAAGCTTATCCCCTTTTACCTTAAAACTGCATCACCTAGTAATTGACATTTCTACCATGGAGAAAAGAGTCTGACTATCCATTCTATCCATGCCTCTCATAACTTTGCAAACTTCTATCAGGTTGCTCCTCATCCTTCAACATTCAAGTGAAAACAAATTAAGTTTTTCCTATCTCCCTCATAGCTAATACCCTCCAAACCAAACTCTTCAAAGCTGCCTCTACATCCTTCTGGTATTGTGGCGACTAGAACTATACACAATATTTCAAATATAGCCCCACCCAATTTCTACACAGCTACAACATGACTTGCCAATTTTTATATTCTATGCTCCGACTGATGAAGGCAAACATGCCAAATGCCTTCTTGACCATTTTATCCACTTGTGTTGCCACTTTCAGGAAACTATGGACCTGTATGCCTAGATCCCTCTGTATGTTGATGCTACTAAAGGTTTTGGAAACTTCCCTCCTGCATTAGATCTTCCAAAATGCGTCACCTCACATTTATCCAGATGAAACTCCATCTGCCATTTCTCTGCCCAAATCTATATCTTGCAGTATTCTCTGGCAATCCTCCTCACTCACTGCAGCTCCCCACCAATCTTTGTGTTGTAGAACACAACTTGTCACAGATTTCCAGTCAGAAAAATGCTTTTCCACCACTTATCTCTGTCTTCCGTGACTAAGCCATTTCTGTACCCATCTTACCAACTCACCATGGATCCCATGTGACTTCACCTTCTGTGCCAACCTGCCATGAAGGAACTTGTCAAAAGCCTTGCCAAAGTCTGAAGACAACATTCACCTCCCTTCCCTCATCAATCATCTTCGTCACTTCCTTAAAAAACTCAATCAAGCTTGTGAGACACGACCTCCCCTGCACAAAGCCTTGCTACCTACCAATAAAAAGTCCAAATGTGAGTAAATCTTATCCCTAAGAATCTTCTCCAGTAATTTCCCTACCACTGATATAAGGCTCACTGTCATTTCCCAATATTGAGGTAGTTAGTCTTCCCTCAGTTTAGTACTTTCACCCGAGGACGACGACTACCCTTATCCATATGTAATTTAAAGCTTACAGAATTATGATCACTGTTCCCGAAATGCTCCCCCAGTGAAACTGACAGTGTGGTATTCCCCAGTCTTGTTTAAAGTGACAGCCTGAGTGTGCAGACCATTGGCCAGTGCCAGCATATACTCTGTGACCTGCAGCATCTGATGTTCCATGTAGGTGGCTGCTTTTTCTGTGGCAGTAGACTATAGTGTCAATGTTAAGGGCTTGATATAAATGGATTCCTTTAATCTCCTTCCATTGGTGTGCACCAGATGATAACAGTACCACAAATTTACTCCTGTTGATTTATTTATTTCCATCTTTGACAATGACCCATGGGTTAATATGTGTGTCCAACTGGGCGGAGCAATGCCCTGTGTCCTACTTTGGGTTCTCCCACCATTCTACCTGCTTTCAGAACCTGCTTGTGCTCACATGATATGCATCTCACTGTGGCACCCTAGCAACCTCTATTCCAGTACCTAACAATGTGTATATACGAGTGCTGGTGCAGGGTGTGTCTGTGAGTCATGTCTGTTATGCTCCCAGGTAATGGTAACACTGGACCAATCAAATCCCAGAGTGGACCCTGACTTGACTTGATAAATTTTATTTGTACAGAGGTCAATCACTAAGGATATTCACCAGAGGCTACTTTAACAAAATGAAATAAATGTTTATTATGTACAAAACACAAACTATATTACACTAGACAAAAACTATTGTAACAATCACATTATAGTTATCAGAACAAAGATCCATCCCATTTACTCCAGCAATAACTTCATAGACAGCCAAACCCCAATAAAGGCTCACCGAATTTCCATGCTAAATTTTCTTGCTCGGCTAATATATATATAATTTGTTTCTTTTCAGCAAACTGCCGTGCATTCATTAGATGCTATTTTCATTTGGTTAATGTCTCTCCCTCAGACCTTTAAGACAAACTTCCAACTCCGCTCACTCATTGCTTATATCCACATTGACTCTACCTTGCCTAATTTTGCTATTCTTTTCTAAATGTTCAGTTATCACACCCTTTTTACTAGATTCTAACATCTTCCTTAATATGGACATCAATGTAACAAGTCTGTAGTTCTCCACTCTCCTGTTTCCTCCGCTAAGTAGTAGAGTCATATTTGCTACCTTCCATTCAACAGGAAACTTACAGTAGGAATTAACTTTAATTCTAGTTTTTTTTAACATGATTCTCCATTTTGATGCTTTTTGGCTTTGATACCATTGCTTTGTCTGGCTTCTTGTTTACTACTTTCCATTTTACTCAATTTTCTTTCCATCCTTTTATGTGACATTCAGTAAGGTGCCTCATAAAAGGTTATCGCATGAGAGGAGCTCACTGTATTATGGGTAATGTTTTAGCATGGATTGAGGATTGGTTAGCAGGCAGAAGACAGTGTCAGGATTGATGGGTCTTTTTCAGGATTGATGGGTCTT